CCTCGTGTACTATGTAAAGTCCGGTTTGTGAATAAATTTCCACACAATGGTTTGTATTGGCTCCGAATATATTTGTGTATTGTTATCATATCCCCTCTCAGGCGACGTTTTTCTAAACTAAATAGGTTTAAATTTGTTAACCTTTCTTCATAGCTGATATATTCCAATTTTGTAGCCCGCCTCTGCACTTTTTCTAGTGCCATAATATCCTTCTTTAGAACAGGTGCCTAAAATTGCACAGCATATTCAGTATGGGGTCTTACCAGTGATTTATAAAGAGGCAAAATGATATTCTCGTCCCGAGAATGAATGCCTTTTTTCATGCATGACAATACCTTACTAGCCTTGGCCACTGCTGTGCACATTGTTGCATAGTTTGTTGTCTATAACAATTCCCAAGTCCTTTTCGTGTGTTGTTATCCCTAATTCGCTTCCATTAAGGGTATATGTTGCTTATGTATTCTTTACGCCGAAGTGCATAACTTTGCATTTTTCAACATTAAATTTCATCTGCCATTTGAGTGCCCAGTCCCCCAGTCTATCTAAATCCCTCTGCAGCAAAGTAATATCTTGCTCACATTGTAAAATTTTACAAAGTTTTGTGTCATCTGCAATCACTGAAACATGACTTTCAATGCTGTCTTCAAGATCATTTATAAACATGTTAAATAGAAGGGGTCCCAGAACAGACCCCTGAGGGACACCACTTGCCACCTCTGTCCAGCTTGAAAATTTACCATTAATGACAACTCTTTGTACTGTTTTTAAGCCAATGTTCTCCCCAAGAACAAGCATTTTCATCTAGACCGATTTCCTTGAGTTTGAACACTAATCTATTGTGTGGAACTGTGTCAAATGCCTTGGCAAAATCCAAATAGATCACATCCATGGCAACACCCTGATCTATACTTCTACTTACTTCTTCGTAGAACGCAATCATGTTAGTTTGACATGACCTGTGCTTCATAAAACCATGCTGATTTTTGCTGGTAACCATGTTCTTCTCAAGGAATTCTTGAATATTATCCCTTAATAACCTTTCAAATATTTTACCAGCCACAGAAGTTAAGCTCACAGGTCTATAATTTCCAGGCAAGGATTTTGAACCCTTTTTGAATATAGGAACCACATCTGCCTTCCTCCAATCCTCCAAACACTTCCTGAAAGAAAAGAATCTTGAAAGATTAAAAACAGAGGTTCACTTATTTCTACACGTGGATGGATACCGTCAGGCCCTGGAGCTTTGTTTATATTAACTTTCTTTAGTTGCTGCAGCACCTTGTCTTGAGTTAACCAATTACAATTATTCTGCAAGTTTTTAGTAGCAATCATTTGCACAGCTATTGCCATGGGTTCTTCCTTAATATATACGGAGGAGAAATAGTTATTTAAAATTCCTGCCTTTTCCTGGTCTTCATTAACTAACACCCCCACACATTTTTGGGTTTTCTAGAATTTATGTACTTGAAAAATGCTTTGGGGTTGGTTTTGCTCTCTTTAGCTATCATTTTTTCATTTTGAAGTTTAGCAAGTCTAATTGCCTTTTTACACGCATTATTTGCTTCCTTATATCTTTTCTAAGATGCATCCGATTTGTCCGATTTAAATGCTTTAAATGCCCTTTTTTATTTTTAATCTCTTGTTTTACTTCTCTACTAAGCCACATTGGTTTTAATTTGTTTCTTTTATATTAATTTCCCAACGGTACATACTGAGAAATGTACCTTTCTAATATTTGTTGGAAGATGATCCATTTATCCTCAGTGTTCTTTTCACTAAAGAGTTTATGCCAGTCAATATATTGTAAAGTTTCCCTTAACTTATTGAAATTGGCCTTTTTAAAATTATTTATTTGTTTTAGTATACCCCATGTGCTTTTGTTTTTTTGAGTTTATTTGTGATCACTATTTTTCCCAAGTGCTCACCTACTTGAATGTTGGTCAAAAGATTGTTAAAACCAGGTCCAGACAAGTGTCCATTCTAGTTGGTGCTTGTACAAGTTGTGACATGAAGGTGTCATTTAACAAGTTTAAAAACCTAATTCCCTTTGCTGAGCTACTAGTCCCTCTGTCCCAATTTATGTCCGGGTAATTAAAATCTCCAATAATTAAAGTGTTACCCAGATTTGCAGCTTTCTCAATTTGCTCAAACAGCCTCCGTTAGTCATTTCTTAGGAAAGAGACGATTAGGGCACATGGTCTTGGCGTGGGCTCTAAAACAGACGGCACAGACGTGCAACATCCTACAGGCACTGAAACTGCAAACCCCTGCATTGAAGTTGTTGCATACGTGAGCCTTCCCTAAGAAGACTATCGGTCTACCCAGTTTGTCTTTTAAACCTCTTTGTTCAAACGTGCTAGTGCTAGGAGTACTGTAGCTAGTGGTGGTCGAATTAGGTTTGATGGAGCACAAATTAATAGTGTGAGAATTGTATGAGCAAATAGCGCAAAGTGAAGTGGCGGCAGAACAGTTCGGTGTCCATGTGGCTCCAGTTTATTCTGATGTTAAACTGAGCGAAAGTTGCTGCCGCCTTGGCCGAGAAAGACTTGTGATAGTCATAGAAAGTTGTGCCACCATACTTGTTTCCCAGGTCTACCAACTTGTGCTTATAAAGGTCTAATTCCTCTCTGCGCTGTGGAAAGTTGAAGCAAATGACATCTCTGTACAGACCGAAAGCTAACATGAAGTCTGGGATGGAAAATGTTTTATCTAATCTGTGGTCTTTGGCTTTAAGAACAACTGACAAGTCACCGTAATTGTACGTTTTGTTGTCAAGTATTTCTTGGGATGCTATCAGTAGCGACATGAGATTAACATCTTTACCCTCTAAAATATCCTTCTTGATGTTGGGAGGGACCATGTGTGCAGGAGTGATGATGTGCGTATCTGACCCCTGTGAAGGTGGCGTGATGGTGATGTTACCCTGTGTGACTGCAGTTTGTGCAGTGGATACGGCTCCCGAGAGCTCTGTAGAGGTTACGTTAGCTGGGGTTGTGGATTCCAGCTTCTCCATTCTCTGGTTTAAGTTATAAATTGATGCCAGCATTGCTGACATAGTGGCTTGAATCCCAGCTAAAGTATCGCTAATGTTGGCTTGCGTGCTAGACCCTGGTTGAGGATTGTCTGAGTTGGCCATGAGCAATCTATAAAACTGAGCCTTCCTGGCGGTGGCTGGATAAGAAACGCCTCTAAGCCTAAATTCAGTGGCTATTTTTGGGATAGTCCGTGACCTCATGGAACAGGGGCTTAACGTCTCTAGGTTTTCGCCTATGGCTGGGGCTACAGTTGGTGTAAATGGTCTAGCCGGCAATGAGAAGTCCTCTCCTTGATCTGACAGGTGAGACATACTATTATGACATACGAAAATATATTGTAGTAACATAGCAAGTATATCCTTTTAACTGGCTTCTTTTATAAATGCCGGGTGGCGAAGAACTTAACTACATTTGGGGTGGTGAGGACCTGCTAATTGCCAAGTGGCTGGTTGAGGCTCTAACTATGATTTGGTCCTGAGCTGTGCCATGAATCAATGGCGGTGATTCATGGCACAGCCTGCACCCCATGGGGTGTGTGCAAGACTCTAGCTATGATTTTATGATTTTATGGCGAAAATACCTCCTTGTAGGTCTCGCGGTCACAGTATTTATCCTGAGCTGGGGGTTACCTGTCAGTTAATTGTGTTTGAAGTGAAGTAACAGGAGAGCAAACCTGAAAGTTAATGAGGGGTCTTATTCTGTGACAGAGTATGTGACTGGATAGACATGATTGCATGTAGAACCCTAAAAGTGAATTGTATTTTTATAAAATGTAAAGGATATATACACTTTTTTTTTCATACCTACCTTCATATTTAGCTCCTTCACTTGAGGGGTAGTAATACTATTGATGTCTTGGACCTAGCGGATTGAGGGATTGAAATGAGAGTTAACTATTTCACTAATAATAAGCCGTTGGCGCGTTTATCTTAATGTTTTATGCTATGAGTTTTATGAGAGGATAGTAACGTATGATGGTAGAAATTTTAACGGTGTTTCTATATTATTGGTCATATCCGTGATCCATATCTGACTATGACTTACGGGTTTGGTCGTAGAATTGAAAGCGTATGTTGAAGTTAGCATACCCGTCTGGGTGGGAATAGTTGTATTGATAGAAGTTAGAACTGAAATGACACCATATAGGGACAGCCTAAATTTAGAACCTAATGACCGAGTATTTCCCGTAGCAGTTATTAAGTTGTTATGGTACCTCCTCTTTATCCGTTAGGACCCCCTAATTTTCCAGCGTACTGTTAGTAATAACGTACCGCGTTTTACTGAATAGAAATGTGAAACTTTGCCTGAACAGTCAGAGAGTATAAGTCAAAATCTGGAAGGACGTAAAATAACATGCGCAACGTGTGCGGGTAAACATGAAATACAACTGCTGGAATGATTAGAAAAGTTCCCGCTAAACAGACACTGTTTAAATAAGCAAGATATTTCAACCTGACATGACAATTTAAACGTAACATGTATAGGAAGTTATTCTAGTTTGCCTATGTAGTTGTTGCAATACCCATATATGTGGTTGTCATGAATGATTTTTCCCAGTAGATGGCGGTGAGGGTTCGGGACTTCGTTAGTTTGAGGGAAATTTTCGGGTGGTTTTATTCGTGTCATATAAGCATCTGTGAGCTAACCGTTCGTGTGAGTTGGCCTATTTAGTGAGTTGGCTGTATGTGAGTTTCGGCGTTCATGAGTTTTTTGCAGTTCGTGTATTAGCCCTTCATGTAATAGCCGTTAAATGTGGTTTAGCTGTTTCGTGAAGTTTAAGTCATTTCATGTGATAAGGCTTTTTTTGAGTTTTTTTTACCGTTCGTGTAGTTTGTACGTTCGGATGCACTGGTCGTTTAGCCGTATAGCCGTTCATGTAATTCGAGCTGTTCGTATGAGTTGGTGCGGTTCGTGTGTTTGAAAGTGTTTCATAAAGTTTTACTCATTGTTTCTGGGTGCTTGACAGCTGACCTGGAAGTACAACAGAAGTAGCAGGAACGTGGCGGTAAATGTGCCTGAGCGGCAGCAGACCGGTGGTGGCGTTTGATTGGATCAAGGACCCACTGGAAAACATGGTAAGTATCCTGGTTTGCATGAGGGAAGTAGACCATGAGGGAGACTGTCCTTAGGAAATCGGAAGCGGATTATATATATATATATATCAGAAAAAAGGGTGCACTCACAGGTCTTTTCCGTGCAGTAATCGTGTTCCAAAATTACATAGTTCACAAAAAATACAGTGATTGATGTTTCGAGCTCTCAGGGTCTTTCTCAAGATCAATGTGACCAAAATATAACAGGCTATATGCAAGAAATATACCAATCATGTTATGTTTACTCACCAATAAAAAGTGTCTGTTTCCCTCGGATCGGTGCTAACCCGGAAGTGTGCAGACGTGACGTGAGAAACGTGCCGGCGTGGTTGCTAGGTAGCAAAATAAACAAAGTGCCAAGATTGGTATCATATATAAAACACCGTGAAACAAATACCAGTTGCAATATTAACATGGTATAAATGTGCTAGATCAATGTGACGAGGATCAGATCTTGAAGGGGAGCCAATATAGATTGGGTGAAGAAAGTATGTGACAATGTATAATATCTACATAAACTTTTTCATAAGCTACATGCAATTATCATATTATACAATCTTTAGCAAGGTAGTGTGCATAGTATTACTATCAAATATAAAGCAGATATAACGCAGAGCAGGGATAATATATGGTACAAAGTACCTAAGAGGGTGTTCATGTAATACAGAGTCAGGTAAATTACTTTGTATGGCTCAATACATGTTCAAATGGTCCATCTGTTTTCTCCCGATTTTAAGCTGTGCATATTTGCTGGCCGAATGTGTATAAATAAATTATAAAGAAAACTCGATTTACAAATATTCTTGTAAAGGTTCCAATGAGTGTTAAAGGGATATTATATCTATAAACATAATGCAAGACACAGTCAAAAAACTATTGGGGGGGGTGGACATCCAACTAAATATACAAAATTTGCAAAATAAATGTATGATGTACAATAATGCTGATAAAAAAATAAAAATACGCATACGCTATATTACCATGTACCACATATGGAAATGTAAAGGGGTAATATGTCTGTATGGGGGTCATATCGGGATCAGTGAAAGTAGGGTGAAAAAACATATGATAAACATATCCCACTTTGTTATAATATATCAATATTACTTATTTACAGTGGTAACAATGAAAACTCTATATGAATATAGAATATACAATGTTTTCATTGAGTCCTTTCGGGGCTACAGTGTCCAATCTGAAAATCCATGTTGCCTCACGTTGTAAGAGTGCTTTAGCTCTGTCACCACCACAAGACATAAATCTTATAAATTAGTCTATATTGCATGGCTAAGAAATAGGGATCGACCGATATTGATTTTTTTAGAGCCGATACCGATACCGATAATCTGCGAACTTTCAGGCCGATAGCCGATATCTTGCCGATATTCTGTACATTTACTATTTTGAATAAATAAACTAATTCGAAAGGTAAATGCACAAAATATACATGCCACATGTAGTGGATGAAGTGTGTTTAGACAGGGGAACTGTGTGTGTTTGTGTAGTGTGTGTGTGTGTGTGTGTGTGTGTGTAGTGGATGCAGGGTGTGTGTTTGTGTAGTGTGTGTATATAATGCAGTGTGTGTAGTGTGTATATAATGCAGTGTGTTTATGTAGTGTGTGTATAATGCAGTGTGTTTTTGTGTGTGTATGTAATGCAGTGTGTGTGTGTTTGTGTAGTGTGTATGTATGTAATGCAGTGTGTTTGTGTAGTGTGTGTTTGTGTAGTGTGTATGTAATGCAGTGTGTGTGTATGTAATGCAGTATGTGTACTGTGTTTGTGTAGTGTGTATGTAATGCAGTGTGTGTGCAGTGTGTGTCTGTAATGCAGTATGTGTGCAGTGTGTGTTTGTGTAGTGTGTATGTAATGCAGTGTGTGTGCCTGTGTAGTGTGTGTGTATGTAATGCAGTATGTGTACTGTGTTTGTGTAGTGTGTATGTAATGCAGTGTGTGTGCAGTGTAGTGTGTGCAGTGTGTGTCTGTAATGCAGTATGTGTGCAGTGTGTGTTTGTGGTGTGTGTGTAGTGTCTGTCTGTGTAGTGTGTGTATGTAATGCAGTGTGTGTGCCTGTGTAGTGTGTATGTAATGCAGTATGTGTGCAGTGTGTGTTTGTGTAGTGTGTGTGTGTTTGTGTAGTGATGTAATTTGTGTAATTTTTTATTTTAATATTTTTTTTATATTTAAATGTTTTTTTTTGTTTAGTCCCCCCCCAGTGTGTGTTTGTGTAGTGTGTGTTTGTGTAGTGTGTATGTAATGCAGTATGTGTGCAGTGTGTGTGTGTGTGTAGTGATGTAATTTGTGTAATTTTTTATTTTAATATTTTTTTTAATATTTAAAAAAAAAAATTGTTTAGTCCCCCCCCCAGTGTGTGTTTGTGTAGTGTGTGTTTGTGTAGTGTGTGTTTGTGTAGTGTGTATGTAATGCAGTATGTGTGCAGTGTGTGTGTGTGTGTAGTGATGTAATTTGTGTAATTTTTTATTTTAATATTTTTTTTAATATTTAAAAATATTTTTTGTTTAGTCCCCCCCCAGTGTGTGTTTGTGTAGTGTGTGTTTGTGTAGTGTGTATGTAATGCAGTATGTGTGCAGTGTGTGTGTGTGTGTAGTAATGTAATTTGTGTAATTTTTTATTTTAATATTTTTTTTAATATTGAAATTTTTTTTTATTTTTTGTTTAGTCCCCCCTCCCTGCTTCTTACCAGGGAGGGGGATATAGTATCCCCTGGTGGTCCAGTGGCTTGTTAAGTACAGTGGTGGCTCAGCAGCAGCAAGCGCTGACTTACCTTGCAAGCAGCTCCTCCAGCTCCCTATGTAAATCTCGCGGCTCTTAGTGCCACGCGGAGCGTTGCCATGGTAACCCGTGGCAACGCTCTGCGGCCGCGGGTCTTGCGAGATTTACACAGAGAGCTGTAGGAGCTGCATGCAAGGTAAGTCAGCGCTTGCTGCTGGCCCCCACAGGACCGCCGGGCTTGTAATGGGCCCGGCGCTCCTGTTATATATTATCGGCAATATCGGTATCTGAATTGGCCGATATCGATATTGCCGAAAATACCAAATATCGGCCGATAATATCGGCCAGACCGATAATCGGTCGATCCCTACTAAGAAATATTTAGCAACTGGTTTGTCAGTATGTTGGTCCCTAAATGCGGTCATAATTGCTGATCAGTGTCCGATCCCTTAGAATAAGATCAGTTTTTCCCAGGTAAAAAAATCTGCAGGGACAGGTGATAAGATATATCACATGGTCAGTGGTACTTCTCATATATTGGGAAATATTTAATCTATTGCCACTATGCGGGTGGGCAGATGTTGAACCACTGACCATCTGGATACAGGTGAAGCATCCGCTGCATTTAAAGCAGCCTTTTTTCTTTATTGGTGTTGGATTAAGATAACATTGATGTGAATCACTGTGGACTAATAGGGCTTTCAAATTTCTATTCCTCCTGTAGTTTATCACAATTTTTTTCTTGAAATGTCCTTGGGAGTTTCTTGTCTGCTTGTAATAATCCCCCATGTTTATTAATGGACTTTAGCTGCACCAGTATGGAACATCAGAGGTAGGAAGACATAAGGGTTGCCATTCTTGTTTGAGGGTTTGTTTCCTTGTAGTTCCATATACCATAGATCTGTAGCTCTTTGTTTGGCTATCTCAAGAAGTTTTGGGCGATAACTAAGAGTTGTAAATCTTTTCCACATTTGCATTATCTGTGTCTCACAGATGTCCGGTTCGCTATTATATCTGAGTACTCTCAGAAATTGTGATATAGGTAGTGAGTCTTTGAACTGTTGAGGGTGGAAACTAGTAGCCAATAGCGTATTGCGACCTGTGGACTTGTGATGTAGTTTACAGCCCAGTTTATGCTGTTTCTTGAAAATGGTTACATCAAGGAATTGTATGGTGTTCGTATCCCAGCATGTACTTAACATTACACGTAGTGGAGATTGGTTGATTTCTTGTACCCTGTTCTCCAATTCCTCAGAAGTCCCTGTCCATATCATAGAGATATCATCTACAAAATGATGGTATGTTTTGATTTTGTCACCATGGTTTTTCAAAATATATGTTTGTTCAAATTTATACATGTATGTATTGGCATACGATGGTGACATGGCCACTCCCATCGACATTCTGGAGCATTGTAGATAGAAGTGTTTCTCGAATTTAAAGTAAATACACGTGAGGGCAATTTGTAAAAATTCCAGGATAAATTCTATTGTTGGTCCCACGTATAGTTCTGACTCACTTAATATTTCTCTGACTGCCTGTACACCATCTGCATGGAGGATGATGGTGTACAGACTTTGTACATCCATGGTGACAAAGAGGTACTGTTCGTCCATAGTATGTATCTGATGAATGTGATTGATGAAGTCCTGAGTGTCAAGCAGACATGTGGGAAGAGCCATCACACTCTCTTTAATAAATACATCAATGTATTTAGCTATGGGTTTGAGTAGGCTGTCTCTGGCTGACAACCAGTCTTCTTGGAGGGTCGATAGGATTCTTGTGTATTTTCGGCAGTGTGTAAATGACCGGATGTTTAGGATGTGTTACATGTAAGTAATTATCTGTTCTGTTGTCCAAGTAATCTTGTTGTACTCCTAGGTCAATATGGTTCGATACATTTTTGAAATTTTGCGACTGTATCAAAAGTAAGTTTGCAATATGTATTTGTGTTGTTAAGTTGACAGAGTATTTCTTGTTTGTATTTGTTATATGATTGTATGACAATGGCACCACATTTGTCAGCTGGGTGGATGGTGATTTCTGGGTCCTGCATTAAATCCTTCAACACCAGTTTGTCTGCGTTAGTCAGATTGTGCCTGTGGGTTGGTGGATTTTTCACTGCTTCCTCTGTTTCTGATTTGATGGTTTGTATAAACATTTTGATGGATGGGTTGATTTTTAATATCGCTCTTCTGTCGTGTGGAAAAGATGTGTGATTTATATTCATTCCTTCTTTCCTAATCTCATGGCTAAATAGCATCTGTTGCACTTTGTACATTTCCACTTCAGTTTGAAAAGGATCTGGTTTAGATGTAGGTACGAAAAATAGTCCTTTATTTAAAATTGAATAATGGTTCTCACCAAGGGCTTTATCAGAAAGGTTGAACACTATATTCACTATATATAGTCCTCTGCATGGCTTTCGGTTCTTTTTGCTCCTCTGGTAGTAATCCTGGATGTACCCGGTAGTTCGTCTTGATATGTACCACGTTCTAAAAAAGATTCCTTTTGGGATCCTTTGTTAGGTTCTTTCGGTTCCACATCAGAATCAGACTTGCCTGAGCTGGTGCCTATCGTATAAAATGAAGGTTTGTGCATCCGTGGTTTGAATCTTGGAGTTTGTTCTGCTCAACCATCTGTACCCCTGGTGGTGCTTATTGTCATTCTTGACTTTCTCTAATTTATTTTTTTTTAAGTCTAATCAGATCATTTTTGTATTTGTGAATCTCATCTTGTGCAGTGGCTGATGGTGCATGAAAACATTGTATACTCTATATTCCTATAGAGTTTTCATTGTTACCACTGTGAATAAGTGATATTGATATACTATAACAAAATTGGGATATGTTTATCATAGGTTTTTTCACCCTACTTTCACTGACCCTTTTATAACCCTCTGTAACATATTCATCCTCACCTTGCGTTCAGCGGCTGTGCATCTGCATGACTAAGACTTGCGAATTGACGCTGGCCACTGCGGATCCACAGCTAATTATACCCCCACGTCCGCTCACGTGATTAACGTCGGCTTACACGTGACATCATGCATGCACGGCGTGCGCACGTTTTGGGGTCAAAGAACGATCCAGGCCAATCAGAAAGGTAAAGAAGGTATAAAAACCTAGAATTACCATTCCTCATTGCCCTGTTGTGGTTTCCCTAGTGGTTGTCCGAGAGTACGTTCCTGATTCAAGTTTCTTCTGGTTTTTGACTTTGGCTTTGATTTTGCCCTGTATTTCTGGTATCCCTGATCTCTGGCTTCCCTTTATCGTTGTGTCCTTTTCTGTCCTTTATAATTTATTTATTTATACACATTCGACCAGCAAATATGCACAGTCTTAAAGTCGGGAGAAAACAGCTGGACCATTTGAACATGTATTGAGCCATACAAAGTAATTTACCTGACTCTGTATTATATGAACACCATCTTAGTTTCTTTGTATCATAGCCTATGCCTGCCCTGCATTATATCTGCTTTATATTTGATAGCAATACTATGCACACTACCTTGCTAAAGACTGTATAATATGATAATTGCATGTAGCATATGAAAAAGTTTATGTAGATATTATACATTTTGCCACATTCTTCATATATTTTTTGCAGAGGGCATACAGATCTTGAACTCTATGGATTTTATCCCCAGTTCTCTGCACTTTGTTTGCACTGTTTTTCAATCACACATTTATCTACACACACTCATCACTTTTTAGTCACTTTTACTTTCTTCACCCGATCTAGATCTGAACCTCCTCACATTGATCTAGCACAATCATACCATGTTATATTGCAACCAGTATACGTTTCACAGTGTTTTAGTTATATGATATCAATCTCGGCACTTTGTTTACTTTGCTACCAAGCAACCACGCTGTCGCGTTTCTCACATCACGTCACATGACTCTCTGCACACTTCCGGGTTAGCACCAATCCGAGGGACACAGACACTCTTCATTGGTGAGTAAACTTCACATAACTGATATATTTCTTGTATATAGCTTGTTATATTTTAGTCACTTTGATCTTGAGAAATGTATCTACTATATTTGCATAATTAAGTGTCTTCATTATAATTCAAGGGACCTGCCTGACAACCCAGGCAGAAAGTCAATTTAACAATTAAAATGCCATGCAGATCTTGAAAAATAGAAAATTTCTTAATTTCTTAAAGTGTTTTTAATATTATTCATGTTAAATTATGTTTCAGATATAAATATTTCATATAAAATGAAATCCCTGTTTCCCCTGAACAAAATGATATATAAAAGGTGTGAGTGTACTTAATATGAAAGAGGTGAATTATGGTTCAAGCGCAAATTACAGGTTTTGTTTACGTTTTGTTTTGATCACAACGTGTACATTTGGCTCAGTCCTTAAGGGGCTAATTAGGTAATAACCTTTAAAATTTCCGCACTGTTTTATAAGGTGAATATGCTGTTTTGGTTGTTTATTCTATGACACTATGGTCAGTTTGAATTTGGTCTTTTTTCACAGTTTTTTGTTTATTTTCTGTTTATCCTGTATATATTATACTATTGCATTAAGGACGAAAGCACGATTTGATCAAAACCTGGAATTTGTGCTATATGTGGTTCAACCATAATTCAAACATATTAAGTGCACCCACACCTATCATATATCATTTTGTTCAGGAGAAACAGGGCTTTAATTTTATATCAAAATATGTATATATGAAACATAATTTTCTATGAATAAAATCTAAAAAAAAGTGTGAGAAATTAAGAAATGTTGTTATAAAAATTATTCACTCTTGCCTAGATCCAGTGGCGATCAAATAATTCACTCCCCGATCTACACAGGCTCCATCATCATCCAGAGCAGTGACATGAACAAGTGACATGGACTAGGAGCTGAAAGCCTGGTCCCTAACTTCACAGAGACTTACTCTCTCTTACCACTGGTTCTTGTGATCTTTATTTTTCTCGTTTTTTGTTTGTTTGTTTTGACTATGACTATCACGCATAAACAGCTGATAACAGCCCCTTAACTCTTTACACACTGTCATGCCTTTGACGCCTTAAGCAATTAGCACACAGGGATCCTCCACCCACAAAGCACTTAGGACTCCACTATGCACACGCCCGAAAAGGCCTCTCAACCCACCAGACCATTTCCATGCACCTAACACTCAGCTAAGTCACCTCCACACCCCTCACCCCCCTCCTTCCCCATCTTGCGTTTTAACACCTAAGTGTCTACTCAGCAGAACACAGCGCAGGAGGGGGTTCATAAACTGACACTACCGCTAATCGATACACGTGAATGTTTTCCTGCTAATCCCAGCTTTAGTAAACATAATTGCCTGTCAAGATTTAAAAAGTCAGTTTTATCTATGTTAGCTCACGAAACTGTTTTCTCTTGTTTAATTTACAAAAATGGGCACGATAAGCATGTAACCTATGCAAACCTTGACTTTATGCATGTAACTTGTAACCAATTGCGACTTTCTGAATTATATGCCCGCAAAAATAAAGAATTTAAAAAACAAAAAAAAAAAAAAACCATACAGTTAAGTAGGATCCTCCATCCAGAATGACCCAATGAGTAATGACTGCCATTGACCTACGTCCATCATAGGCTCCCATTTAAAGAGAAAGATGGTCTTTCCTTTGATCCAGGTCATTCTGCGAAATGGTTGGTGGAGTGTACGTTATGGCGAAATATAAAAAACACTTACCTCCACTGTACCAGAAACCACAGCAAATAAATAGAAAATGATAATTTCTCATCTCTAAAAAAAGACACCATAACAACAAAAGGTTATTTTGATTGAACCCACTGTCCCTTCAGAGCAAACTCTGGTTACATGAACACAGCCCTTTGCTGTAGTAGATAGACTTGCTGGCTCCCACAGCAGGTGGTGACTTACAGAGCAGCATTTAACTTGATTAGTCCACAGAATACATTTCACACCTAACTATACTTTATAGTTTATAGAGCTGCTGCCCCCCCTTTGTTGACCCACAGCTGTATATACAGACACACACACTGCTTTATGTATAATACAGGCACACAATACAGTGATATCAAGATACATGGAAATGGCCACAAAAATGTCACCACAAGCTTGTGGCTTGTGCCAAAAAAAAAAACAGGCCATCCATCACAATCATCTTAAAGAAGCCTTGCCAGGGACCATATCAAACGTCTACTTCCACTCATATATATCCTTGGTGGGGATCATTCCACCTTAGCTGATATTATTGAGCATAAGGTGCTCCTAAAATTGTGAGTAATTTTCATACTTTTCCACACACTTTTATTGGTTTGAAACAGTGAGCACTGTATCCTGTTTTTATTCTTTCATATGCTGCTTCCACTGTGAACACACAAAGAGAAAAATTACAGTTTCATCCATGAGTGGGTATTATACCACTCAGAGCCTTATCTAAGAGCTGATTGGAGACTCTATCCTTGTGAGTGTATTCTTTTTCTTCACATTATTAAGATATTGAACATACTGGGTTGCACTATTGGTTTTTCTTTTCTGCTTATATTTTACATGAGATGCCAATAAAAGAACTCCCTACCTCAATCAAAACCTAATTTATTTGAGTGCCAAGGAGGACTTTTGACTGAACTACACTAAAGCATCACCTCCTCAAAGGCTTATAGAAAAAAAGACCATTGTTTTATTCCTCTGGGACTTTTTAAGTATATCCAAGTTATTTCTAAGACTATTCGGTTTTACTATATATATATATATATATATATATATATATATATATATATATATATATATATATACATCCATACTTATTTCAATTTATACTTGGTGCTAATCAGTTTTTTCTTGTGTTCTACTCATATTTGTATTCAGCGAAGTCTCCCGAGTATAGCAGTACCCCCTTGTAAAGGTTTTATGGTATTTTGGAATGTTACAGGGTTAAATATAGGGCTTGCCAATTAAATTATCTGGACTGTCTGCCTGAGTTGTCAGACAGGTCCTTCAAATTATAATTATAATCACATAATTATGTAAAATTTATGGTTAAATATATATGTAGAATTTATTTTATATATACATACATACACACACACACACACACACATATAAACACAGTTGTACTCAAAAGTTTGCATACCCTTGGAGAATTGGTAATATATGTACCATTTAAAAAAACGAAAATTAAAAATACATGAGTGAGCAGGCAAAACGCATTACTTTTATTTCTTATGGGATTCATATTATTTCTTATGGGATTTATATTAGAATAGCACAATTATAAAAACAAAACAAAACATGACAACAAAGAAAACAATGAAATGACCCCTGTTCAAAAGTCTGCATACCATTACTTCTTAATACTGTGTATTGCCCCCTTTAGCATTAATGACAGCGTGCAGTCTTTTGTAATAGTTGTTTATGATGCCCCTAATTCTTGCAGGTGGCATAGCTGCCCATTCATCTTGGCGAAATGCCTCCAGGTCATGCAAAGTCTTTGGTTGTTTTGCATGAACGGCAAGTTTGAGATCTCTCCAGAGTGGCTTGATGATGGCCATTCCAGATGGCCACTCCAGAACCTTTACCTTTTTCTGCAGTAACCATTGGAGGGTTAACTTGGCCTTGTGTTTAGGGTCATTGCCATGCTAGAAAGACCAAGAGCATCACAGCCTTCGTGCAGAAGAATGCAAACTGTCTGCCAGTATTTTCTGATAACATGCTGTATTTATCTTGCCATCAATTATCACAAGATTCCCCGTCCCTTTAGAGTTTGCACATCCCCAAAACATCCGTGATCCACAACCATGCTTCACAGTGACAATGGTATTTATTTCACTATAGGTCTTGTTGACCCCTCTCTAACATAGCACTTTAGTTATGACCATAAAGCTCTATTTTGGGCTTGTCACTCCAAATTACAGTGCACCAGAAGCTTTGAGATATGTCAAGGTGTTGTTAGGCATATTGAAGCTGGGCTTTTTTGTGGCATTGGTGCAGTAAAGGCTTCTTTCTGGCAACTCAATCATGCAGTTCCTTTTTGTTCAAGTATCGTTGTGTTGTGCTCCTTGAAACAACCACACTGTCTTTTTTCAGAGCAGCCTGTATTTCTCCTGAGGTTACAAGTGGGTTTTTCTTTGTATCCCAAACAATTCTTCTGGCAGTTGTTGGTGAAATCTTTCTTGGTCTACCTGACCTTGGCTTGGTAGCAAGAGATTGCAAAATCTTCCAGTTCTTAATAAGTGATTTAACAGTATTTTCAAGGCTCTGGATATCTTTTTATATCCGTTTCCAAATTTATAAAGTTCTGTTACCTTGTTACACAGGTCTCTTGACAGTGCTTTTCTGCTCCCCATGACTCAGTATCTAGCTTGCTCAGTGCATCCATGTGAGAGCTAATAAACTCATTGACTATTTATACAGACACTAATTGCAATTTTAAAAGCCACAGGCATGGAAAATTAAACTTTAATTGCTATTTTAACCTGTGTCTGTCACTTTGTGTGTCTGTAACAAGGCCAAACATTCAAGGGTATGTAAATTTATGATCAGGGCCATTTGGGTTATTTCTGTTATCATAATGATTTAAAAAGGAGCCAAACAATGATGTGATAATAAATGGCTTCATATGATCACTATCATTCAATAAAATATTTTTTTTGCATAATCAGTCACATTTTCAAAATAAATGCCAAAATTTTAATACTTTTTGCCAGGGTATGGAAACTTTTCAGCACAAAATATATATAAATACAAAAAAACAAGTCTTGTGCTCAAACTCCCATCACTCCTGGGCAGCAGCAATGGCCATAGTACACATCAGCCCTAATGCATACAGTAATAAAGGTTACCTGCGCTCTTCCCAAATCCCTCTGCATATTTAAACAAATGAAGGTTATTTAGTTTCTCCAATGGCCATGAGAGACTTTAGCCCACCTGCCACATCAAGGTAAACCTCTAAGGTGAGTCTACACTAACCTTTAACCTTCCTTCCTTGAGCTTCTGGCAAAGATATCTCTAATGAGACAGAAAGAGGTATTTTTTTTATATACACCCCTACATGCCTATTAACCCCTAATAAGGAACACATGGGATGAGCTGCAGCATTGTAACATAGTTGTGTGATACAAAAGTGAATAAAAATACAAAAAAAACAAGCCCTGCACTCAACTGTATATATATATATATATATATATATATATATATATATTTTCCCAGGTCCCAGCACTCAATTTCCCGGTCTTTTCCATGCCCCGGTGCAGGTAATCTCTGACCAATATATAGCATCCAAGTAGAGAGCACTCTGGAGTCTTCGTTTTATATCAAAATAAATACTGCTTTATTGTGCAGAATACAAAAATGTCGACGTTTCAGTCACAATAGACTTTTCTCAAGACAATTCATGCAATGAATAAACCGTGATTATATATGTTACAACAAAATTCCTATTGGAGGGTGAAAGATTGAAAGCAAGGACAGGTGACGTCATAATTGACGTATTTAGACAGAATATTAACCAGGTGATTCTTAACTCAATTAAGGTTTGAAAAAGTGACTTAGTGCTAATTAAATACACAGAAAGCTATTTACAAAATAAAAACTAATGATATTAATAATAATAAGTAAACCTAAAAAATATTCACTATATCCAATAGTCCTGTTAACTAGCAACAAGTCCTGATTTTTCTGTCTTGCAATATCCAAATGTCTATTAGCAAAATATGTATATAGAGACAAAATCAATATTATTATCCTATAATCCTGTTAACAAACAACAAATCTTGATTACTGAGTCTTACACTTTCCTAATGTCTTTTTATGTTTAGTTATTTTTAACTCTCTCCCAACCTCCTCAATCACCACCAGAATCAGGTCTAAGGAACATTTATTTAATATCCCAACCCACTTCCGGCATACCTCCGGATTATTTCTGCCAATAGTAGGAACATTTTTGATTCTAAATCCTCTCGGAATTTTCTTCATTCTATAATAATCTGATAGGTAAATTGCATGTAATTCAAAATCAATTTCTTTTTGGCGTAATTTCTTTAACTCACGTATAATATCCTTAGAATCCGAAGAAACTGGTAAATCAGCATCAGTCTGAGGCCATAAAATGGCTTGAGCCTGTTCATCTGTAATCTGTACGGTCTCAGCATAATCCAGATAAGCCCCTGCTTTAGTTAGGAAATCTTCCATAGTGAATATTCCAGGTGAGAACTTTCACCTCACTTGGGTCCGGTGCATGGGTAGAAAACTTGGTAAGGGTTTCCAATTATATCTATTTTCCCAGGTCCCAGCACTCAATGTTCCCGGTCTTTTCCATGCTCCGGTGCAAGTAATCTCTGACCAATATATAGCATCCAAGTAGAGAGCACTCTGGAGTCTTCGTTTTATATCAAAATAAATACTGCTTTATTGTGCAGAATACAAAAATGTCAATGTTTCAGTCACAATAGACTTTTCTCAAGACAATTCATGCAATAAATAAACCGTGATTATATATGTTACAACAAAATTCCTATTGGAGGGTGAAAGATTGAAAGCAAGGACAGGTGACGTCATAATTGACGTATTTAGACAGAATACTAACCAGGTGATTCTTAACTCAATTAAGGATGTTTCCGTTGCTTAAACTGCCTAGCATGTAACTTCATGACACCAGGAAAGACATTTAATCATCCGAGATCTGGAAAAGTGTAAAACGTCTAATGATCTGAGGGAGAGAATGTGTGGACATCGTTCGACTATCCGCACAGCACTCAGCAGTGGAATAGCGACGACTCCTGTGTCATGACATTTCCTTGAGGCAAGTCACAATTTGGCAGTTCTACGCTTTATTGGTATAGACCATGTACCCATCTCCCCGAGAGGAGGGGATAGAGATTTGGCTTTACTTAAACGTGAAGCATATTGGATCCATACTTTAGGAGCATTATCACCCAATGGGTTAAATGAGAAAAATGCTCTATATTGGTTTTTTGAATAGAAGATAATTAAGTAACATATGAAGTATTTGTGGGATATTATGACATTGTGTTCTTATTATGAGAATTTTTGTAACTAATGTTGCATTACTTAAATATACATTATTAAGAGATTTTGTGGTATAAATGGGATACACTGACTGTCTTTATACACATATTCTGCCGGTAGACATTAGGAAAGTGTAAGACTCAGTAATCAAGATTTGTTGTTTGTTAACAGGATTATAGGATAATAATATTGATTTTGTCTCTATATACATATTTTGCTAATAGACATTTGGATATTGCAAGACAGAAAAATCAGGACTTGTTGCTAGTTAACAGGACTATTGGATATAGTGAATATTTTTTAGGATTACTTATTATTATTAATATCATTAGTTTTTATTTTGTAAATAGCTTTCTGTGTATTTAATTAGCACTAAGTCACTTTTTCAAACCTTAATTGAGTCAAGAATCACCTGGTTAATATTCTGTTTAAATACGTCAATTATGATGTCACCTGTTCTTGCTTTCAATCTTTCACCCTCCAATAGGAATTTTGTTGTAACATATATAATCACGGTTTATTTATTGCATGAATTGTCTTGAGAAAAGTCTATTGTGACTGAAACGTCGACATTTTTGTATTCTGCACAATAAAGCAGTATTTATTTTGATATAAAACGAAGACTCCAGAGTGCTCTCTACTTGGATGCTATATATATATATAATTTTTTTATTATTATTATTTTTTCTTACTTTTTACATTTTTATAATATATATACATATATATTTTTTATTTAACTTTTTACATTTATATATATATATATATTATTATTATTATTTTATTTATATTTATGTATAGGGTAGATGTGTTTTAAGTGCATATTTACATGTTTTGGAACAAGATATAAGGTTACAATAAAAAAGGTTTACTCCGGATGTGATGTGGCGAGTGTGCGCCCCACATCATGGGAAGGAGAGGTTTGGACGACCTGGAAATGATGAGGCGGGCGCACGGCTGCGTCGCACACTATAATTCAACACTGCCCAAAACAAATATGGCCGCCAGCACTTCGGAAGTGATGAGATGCAGATTTTTGCCGTGCCACTTCCGTAATTGCGGAACAAAAGACACCTGTGAAGCACAACCTTCCCCAAACGAAGGATCTTGATAGGAGAAATCTCAGACTGACCCTCCAGTGGATAGGAAGGGTCACTTGGAAGAAGCAGGCTACCAACTAAGGAAGCCAATATCGGAGAAACGCATTTTGGATTGGAGATCAGGAGAGACTCTAGACATTTATTCTACCTTTGGTATCTTGAAATATTTTATTTATTTTTTTATAGATTTTAATTTGTTGAATTGTTAAAATAAACTTGTGGAAACTACATCAAGTCTCTAAGTTTCCAGACAGACTTGCTTGTTCCAAGAAGGGAGATGCCCTTCATAGTGGCACACTTGCTGTTTTACTGAGAGCCCAATTCATTGGCTCTCATATAGGTGAGCAGAACCTGTACTGCATATTCTTTATATACATTGCCTTTACAATATCACACTAGGGGCTTGCTTCATCCCCTTCTCTGAAGTACCTCAGGATTAAAGAAAAGAAAAGGTTCGGGTGTGACCTTATGTACCCTTGATGTTGTAACTTGAGCCTATCCTTTTTTGGCTCTGTCTCATGTGAGTTCATTCATCGTTTAGTACTTACTCAATAAGTTGTATAATTTAATGCACTATATTGTATTATCTCTATTTTTAGCATCACTATATTCCCCTTAATAAAAGGGTAAGTGTTCTCATATAAAGCACTACAGCTCTTCTTTCCACTGCTCTTTTTTTTTCCTGATGCCAGGAATGGCACTCTGAATCAAGAACTGAACTGAACATGATTGTGCTTGCGAAGATTCTCCTCCATGGCTACTCGGAAATCTGAATTTTGTCTGTTTACTCAAGCAGCCCGGATTCAACTGAATTGCAGTTTGGCCCGAAATGAGTGCCAATTTTCGATTGTTTTTTATTCTCTTGTCTATTGAGAACTCTTATCTTAAGCAATGTTTTTTTAATATTTAAGTTCAACTTGCATGCTTGCATTATTTTTTTTTTTTTTTAATATGGAATTACCCTTTTTATTGAACAAGGGCAGAGCAAAGCTTTTCACCCTAATAGTACAAATCCCTGTGAATCTCGCATGGCATTTGTGCTATTAGGTTAACTAGACTTGCTGCTGAGTAGAATGTTGTAGAGCCTTAGTAATGTGGTTTAAAAGAGCGTAGGTGAAATATTAAATAATTGTAAATGCCTATCTCTTATTTTAGGCTTTGTGGATTTGAACCATTCTTTGACCCCCGGGGAGACCAGTACATGTACAGGAAGATATTGAAGTGTGACTACGAGTTTACTTCTCCATGGTGGGATGATGTCTCCTTGAATGCCAAGGACTTGGTAAGCTTTAAAATAAAGGTATGCATAACCATGAACAAAATTTAGCTTTCATGGATCTGCTAACAGGTCTTTATTGAACATATCAAATGTAATATTTATATTTTATTTTAAATGATATATGGTATATAATGTTATCTTTTTTATAATAGGAAGTACTGCGCTACCTTAATCAACATATCAGTTTTAAATTTTAAGGGTAGAGCAACAGTAAGACAGTGTTTACTGGATAAAGCATTAGGAAATGTGTTGGCAGATAACCATTTATCTATACACACCAGATCGCTGCTTCTTTAGTTACTAAGTTTAAAAAATGAACTGGGCAAAAATGTTTGGATGTTGTGTATCCCATGAAATGAAATGGTCTACATAAGGAAAGTAATAAAAGCTCCAGTGTGTGATATAGAAATAAAAATGTCAAAGTATATTCTTCAGAAATCATATATTTAGAATTCCCAAGGAATCAAACATGTTTTAGAACAGTGATGCCATTAATGTCCATCTCAAATATATTTATTCTATCGAGAAAAAGACCCTTTTTTTCTTTTCTTGTTGGTTTTATTTACCCTTCTAGACGGCGCTAACTCCATCGGAGCAAAAGTGCAAAGGTTCCCATCATCCCTTCTTAGAGGCATAAGCCAGTGCCAACTAGTTGATTTTTCCTTTTTTAAATATATATAAAATGAGCACCATTTCTGACATTTCCTGTATCACCAATGTTGAATTTTCTCATGTAATCTTACAACTCGGAAATGTGTCAGGTTGAGCTTACTTGTATAATATGGCACAACACAATACAGAAGCCATGAGGTCTTGACAGGAGGCGCAGAAGAAAGGGGGCAAGGCTACTCACAGTATGTAAAAGTATGCAGCTGGAGCTCCCAAACAGCATGGCGCATTCAGAGCATCGGCAGAGACTGCATTTTTATAGTTCGGAGCTGTGACAACTGCTTGGTACCACTGTTGCCAGGGCACCCTGTGCAGACGCACAGCTCCAAGGTCTCTACGGCCGGCCCTGCATCCAGAACATCGGGTGGCGGCACACCTAGCACAGTGCTGCAAAACGCTGATGTGTCACAGCACACCGGTTGAGGAACACTGATCTATAGTGTGCATCTACCAGAAACCAAGTTAAATCTGTGTAATGGGATTAGACACAATTTTTGAAGCTAAACAATTCTAATGTAAAAAAAGTATATACCGTTTTCTACATATGGCACTCCTCTGCAAGTACAAGATGTATCCATTAAAGAGACACATTTTTTTAAACACTTACCTGCTTCTTATAAATCTGCCTAAAAGCCACCTTTATTTGATCAGTTTTCTTAATTTGTTGCAGATTTTTAGTACGTGAATCTGTGCGTCTGTGAATCTATGAGTGTGTGCTAATCTGAGTGCCATTGAAACTATGACTGTGTGTGCATAGGCGTGCGCAGCCTATTGCATTAGGGTGTGCACCCTAAAGCACAAGCACACGCCGCATATATATATGTGTATGTATATATATATATATATATATATATATATATATACATACATACACATATATACACACACACATACACACACTGCTGTGTGTGTGTGTGTGTGCTGTGTGAGGGTGCTGTTAGTGTGATGTGTGTGTGAGGGTGCTGGTAGTGTGCTATGTGGGTGAGGGTGTTTGTGTGTGCGTGCTTGTGAGGATGCTGTTAATGTACTGTGTGTGAGGATGCTGTTTGTGTGTGTGTGTGTGTGTGCGCTTGTGAGGGTGCTGTTAATGTACTGTGTGTGAGGGTGCTGTTTGTGTGTGAGGGTACTGGTCGTGTGCTGTGTGTGTTTGTTAGGGTCCTGTTTGTGTTTGTGAGGGTGCTGTGTGTGTGTGAGGGTGCTGTTTGTGTGCTGTGTGTGTTTGTGAGGGTGCTGTATGTGTGTGGGTGCTTTGTATGTCTGTGGGTGCTGTATGTGTGTGGGTGCTGTGTATGTCTGTGGGTGCTGTGTGTGGGTGCTGTATGTGTGTGGGTGCTGTGTATGTCTGTGGGTGCTGTGTATGTCTGTGGGTGCTGTGTATGTCTGTGGGTGCTGTGTATGTGTGGGTGATTGTTGGGGTGGAGGTGGGGTACATTACTTGCTATCCCCCCTCCCTTCTTACCTTTTGTAGGGAGGGGGGATAGTGCTGCTGCTTTCCCTGGTGGTCCAGTGGAGAGTGAACTCTAGCCCCTTTGGTGCTAGAGTTCACTCTTGCGAGATTTGAGCGTTGCAGAGGCAACGCTCATATCTCGCAAGAGGAACCCTGCGTAGCTGCCTGCAATAGCTCCGCCGGTCCTCTCCTGCCTCCCTCCCTGCATGTGGGTCAGTGGGGAGGGAGGCTGAGAGCAGAGCCGGCGCTCGGATAGCGCCGGCTCTGCATGAGCCGACAGGGGAGATCCTGAGATCTCCCCTGCCGGTCTCAATATGCATAGGCGTGCCGCGGGATTAGGGTGTGCCCAGGCACACCCGACACACCCCGTGCGCACGCCTATGTGTGTGTGAATTTATGTGAATATGTGATTCTTTAAATCTAGATTAACATTTACTTATTTTTGTTCTGTTCTCACTATAGCAGTGGTTCCCAAACCAGTCCTCAAGGCACCACTACCAGTCCAGGATTTTGAGATTACCCAGTTGTGTCTGTGTTTTTGTTTGTTTCTTTTTTTTTTTTTTTAAACACCTTAGACACAACTGAGCAATACTTAAATCCTGGACTGTTAGGGGTGCCGTGAGGACTGGTTTGGGAACCACTGTACCCAGAAAACCCAGCATAAAGAAAACCATAAAGTCTGTCAAGCAATCATGAGGCTGGCTTTGGTGAGACACAGATTAGTTATGTGGGAGGTATACAAGCAAACTGCTCATGCTTTGGCCTTAACGTGTCACGGATGGCAGTACGGAGACCAGGACCCCTGTATGCAATCAGGGCCTGGTGCATGGTAACCACACGCCCCCCTGGTGTTGAGCATCCGGGTTTGTGCTGCCACATACCAGGGCCCTGATGCAGCTTCTGCGGATCCCAGGAGCTAGGAGAAAATATTCAGACCTCCCAGGATTTGGATAGGGAGGCTCTGCAGCAGATATGTATCCAATACTAGAAACAAGGCAAGACCAGAACAGGCACCAAACAAGATGAGACTAGACGAACCCAGAACCAGAGCGAACAGAAAGCAGAGTCCAGAACATGTACACAAGACATAAGGGAAACCAGAACAAGGCATGGACGGGGCAGGACTGTACATGAACTGGGTAGACAATATAAAACAAGACAAGAGATACAAGGCAAAACAAGGGGAGACATAACCAAGTACTATATATGTAAAACATTGGAGATTTAGACATACATAAATGGCCAAGAAGCAGCCCACCACTGCGCCAAAGTATTCCAATTACAGTGGGTCCTAACTGCCTAGATGCATGACTAAATAAACAACAATAAAACATACACAGCACTTACCTGCTAAGAAAGGAGCAGAGGTAATGAGACCACTGCTTGCAGGACAGATTGAAAGAAAAGCATGAATGGCAAAGAAACAGGTGTGGCAACAAAAACCAAACATTTAAAGGAATCCAAGAGACTGGGAATTCCAGTAACAGAATAAAGGAATTAACCCAGAAAACCCAGCATAAAGAAAACCAGACATAGAATAGAAAAACCAAGAAGAACTAAACAAGAATTGTAAAAAGAGTAGTGGATACCAGAAGCCATCACCAGAAATGATCAGCAGCAGATTTTATTGAGGCCTGTCAAATGCCTGCAATAAAAATCTCAGTATCCAGCTTACTCCAGTCTGTTATAATTTTGAACTGAGCCAAGGATGCCATTGCATTGGCTGAAAATTGGCAATGGTAGGTATAGAATGCAGATTTGCCATATTTGTGCATGTACAAGTATAGTCTATCCCTTGTTTGCTAAAATAGGTGATTTGAAATGGCCTTGTAAAATATAAAACTATATTTTGGGTCTGTGTGCAGTTCCTTTATCTGTATTTTGTATAAATGTTGGTCTTTACAGCAGCACCACTGCTGAGAAATGTATGTTCTTGGTGTGCTCCCAGTTCCCCTTGTTTTCTATGCAGTATTTTACCAGCAGGCGTCTTAAGTTTGAAATTTTCTTTGAATTCCTGGCAATTTTCACTTTAGTGAGTTAGAAAGTAATTTAAAGATAGGACAGTGAAATTGTCGCCCCATGGAACTTGAGCAGCATAAGTGGAATAGGGCCCTGACAGAGCTTGGAGGCGGGCTGAGGGGGAGAATAGGTGGGTGGGGTTTGAGGATATGATAAGGGGGGCGGCCTAGTATAAATAGGTCAGCCATTTTAGCTACTGTCACCATTAATTTCCTGACCAGTTTGAGTCGTTTTTTGCTCTGGTTTGGCCTGGTGGGGGTTTCTTCTTGTGTCTTTCAGATGGACCCATCGGTGGAATTTCTGATCGCTGCGATCAGGGCGGCGGCGGTGGTGAGCAAGAGGTCTGCATGGAAGCAGGAGCAGCTCAGCGAGGTGCTCACGGCGGCTGGTCAAGAAGCCATGGGGACCGCCCGGCCGGCTAGGAAGAGGAGGCCCCCGGCAAAATCGAGCTTGGACCCAGGGAGTGAGGGGCTGGCAGGAGTTTTGCGGCACCAGCAGCAGTCCTGGACGCAGGAGGGAAGGCCATGAAAGGTATCCGGCAGCCTGGAGGCGGGGAGCATTGCAGAGCCCGGACAGTGGGGTGCTGCGCTGGGACGGCAGCCGGCTGCAATTGGCAGTGTGGGTCTGGGGCCTGTGCCTGTGACGGGCCGCCTGCCAGAAGTGCGGCCCCTAGTGATCCCAGGGCAGTGTTGGAGGTACAGGGACTGAACGTGACAAGCTGCCCAGTCCTTCTTGTTGTTCCAGGTCCCGCGGCAGGTCTGATTCCGGACGGTCGGTGTACCGGGTGGCTACACCGGTTGGCAAGGGGAATATTACGATGGAGGAGGCTGGACCGGAGATGATTCGAGGAGCAGCCCACATGCCTTTGGCAGCGGAGGGTTTGGCCAGTGAGTCTGGTCCTGCTACACCCACACAAGGCTTAATTGACACACTGCAACACCTGATTGACACATGGAGAAAAGAAAAGGCGGCTAGCACAGATGTAGGTCAGGTCTGGGTGCTGGGGAGGGGCAAGCGCAAAGTCTGTTGTCGTTGGCACAGGCACCGCGGTCAAAGGGGTGCCGGGTCTGCATCAAAGGTGTACAGTGACAAGAAAAGGGTGGTGCTGATAGGTGGTGTTCCGGATGCGGCGTGGCAAAATGTTTAGGTCTCATTTTCTGGGCAGTAGGGGGTTCATCTCAAGCAGGAAGTGAAGGATAAGATATTGACGGGTGAGTTTGTTGAGATGTTTTCCTCCTGCTTCTGGAGGAGTATATAGATCTTAGGGAGGATGACAAGAGGGGTGGCAAAAAGGAGGAGGAGAAAAAGAAGCGGTACAAGAAAATTCCGAAATCATTTGTCAATTGGCTACGGGCGTTTTGCATATTGGCCAGTGTTCTTGGCGAGAAGATGCCAGGGATCTATTCCTAGCTTTTCTGCTATCTTGATGGCATTTGGGAGGCCTACGGTGGAAGTATGACGAACAATTCCGGCAGATGCTGGTGGCCAACCCGGGGATGCAGTGGGACAGGATGGACCTACCCTTATGGTTTAAGCTGATGATGGCTTCAAAAGTGTCCCCCTTTCAGTTGTGGGCCGGTCTTCCTCGTCAGTCGCAGTTAGAAAAGGCATATGCTGGTTGTACCATTAGGGGACAGTGTAAGTGGGGTGCCGCGTGCAGGTTTAAGCACGAGTGCTCCAGGTGCAGGGGCAGCCATGCCCTTCAGCGGTGTTTCAATAAAGGTAAGAGCGGAACTGCCAGAGGGACAGCTGCTGCCAGTTCAGTAGCCGCTGCCCAGGGGCATAACCCCAATGAGGTTAGGCGCGATACTTCCATGGCTAAACCGCTACGGTAACATAGCCAACGCGGAAGTGTTGAGGGCCGGGTTTTCTGAGGGTTTTATCATACCATTTTGGGAACGTGAATTCCCGGTGAATTTTCGCAATTTACGCTCGGTGGCGGACTTCCCTCAGGTGGTGCGGGAGAAGCTGGGAAAGAAGGTTCAGTTGAGAAAAATGGCGGGCTGTCGCCGCTAGGTGGGAAAATTTTGGCTCATCCACCAACTCTCGCTTCCCAAAGGGGGGTCGGTCAATGACGACATTGACAAAGATTTGTGCTCATTCTCTTATGCATCATTCGACCGGGCGGTCAAGCTGGTTAAGAAGGCCGGGCCTGCTGCGTTGATGGTGAAGTTTGACATTGAATGCATTTCGGCTGCTGCCTATTGCTCCTATTTTAAGAAGTTTAGTACCTTCTTGGAGTGGGTCGTTCAATCGGAGGTGGGGAATTGGTTGGTAATACATTACCTTGACGATTTTCTATGCGTGGGACCAGCCAGATCCCACATGTGCCTGCAGACACTCGAATGGTTGGCAGGGCTATTTGGGGTGCCGTTGGCAGAGGGCAAAACGGAGGGGCCCACCAAATGTCTCAGCTTCTCAGGACTGGAGATTGACTCGAACAAGGGTGAGTGTTGGCTTCCTCGGAAAGCTTGTCCCGGGCGATGGTGGGGATGCAGGCTCCACACCACTTCATTTTCGGCTGACATGAAGGCAGACCTGGGAGTGTGGGACGCGTTCCTTACGCTCTGTAATGGCACGGTGATCTTCTGGAAGGCATCAGTGTCAGCCGAAAAGCTGGAGCTGTACACCGATACATCGGGGAACGTGGGATACAGGGCATATTTCGGGCGATGGTGTGCGGAGCCGTGGCCGATAGCATGGTCTCGTAGCCCGCTAATCCCTAACCTTGCATTCTTGGAACTCTTCCCATTGGTGGTGGTTCTCGCATTGTGGGGTGATTTGCTCCGGGACCGGAAGGTGGTATTTTATCGGACAATATGGCTGTGGTACATGCAGTGAATAATGTCTCCGCCCTGGTGGTATGCCTCATGAGCAAATTTGTGCTGCTGTGTATGTCTCTTATTGTGGTATTCTGCATGTGGCACATTCCAGGGGAACTTGAATGTCGTGGCTGAACCTTATCTCATTTTCAGTGGTCTCAGCTTCAGATGGTGGTGCCGGAGGTGAAGGAAGCTGGGCAGGCCTGCCCGGAGGAGATCTAGCGGCTCGGGATGACGTGCCTGTCAGATTTGTGAAGTCATCGCTGGCTTCCGGTACCTGGTCGGCTTACTGTAAGGTGTGGGAGTCTTGGGACGGCCTGTAAGGGGAGCTGGTTGGGGGGGGGGCTCGGTTGGGTGCATTCTTGTGGTACACCTGCCAACTACTGGCACTATAGGCACATGTCGGCGTTGGCATTCTGGTTCAAACTTCAGGGTTGGGAACATCTTACCAAACGTTTCATTTTGCGGCAGGCTCTTAAGGGGTTCCGGAATGGTCGTGTGGTGCAGGACTATAGGAGACCCATCTCCTTTCACGTACCTGGGGGTTTGGTGCGGGTGCTTCCCGGGATTTGTTTCACCGAATACGAATCGTGGCTGTTCGGTTTGGCATTTGTCTTGGCTGTCTTTGGTGCCTTCCGCATCGGGAGTTGGTTAGTGCCAACAAGGGTGTCAGAGGGGGCGTGAGGCGGGGAAATGTTTTGTGTCAACCGATAAAGTGGTGGTGCGGCTGGCAAGCTCAAAAACAGATGTCATGGGGAAGGGGGTGGACATAGTGCTACCGGGGTAAGACTTGGGCACCATGCTCAACTTCTCGCAGTACCTGGAGAAGTGGCCGGTGGGCGATGTGTCCTTCTTGGTTCATTAGGATGGATTTTCACTGTCGTGCTTCCAGTTCTTCGGGGTCTTTCGCATGGGCTTAGGGGTGCTGGGACTGCAGCCTTACCAGTTTGGGACACACTCCTTTTGCACAGGTGCAGCTAAGGAGGTGACAAGATTGGGCTTAGGTGACGAGATCGTTAAGAAAATTGGGAGGTTGTAAATCATTCAGTTCCTATCCTACGTGTGGCTAGGGCGCCTGGTATAAGCGGCTGGGTCTAGGGTTTCCGAAGATGCGGCCTAACTGCCTCTTGTCTCCATAGAGCAAGTGGTGTGGATGGTGGGCCATTCCTACATCTTCTGGGCCAAATGGAGGGCTGCAGTTTGTTTTAAAGGACCACTCTAGGCACCCAGACCACTTCAGCTTAATGAAGTGGTCTGGGTGCCAGGTCCTTCTAGGGTTAACCCATTTTTTTATAAACATAGCAGTTTCAGAGAAATGTTTCTTAATGGGTTAAGCCTTCCCCCTAATCCTCTAGTGGCTGTCTCATTTACAGCCACTAGAGGCGCTTGCGTGCTTCTAACTGTGATTTCCACAGTGAGAGCACGCCAGCGTCCATAGGAAAGCATTGTAAATGCTTTCCTATGTGACCGGCTGAATGCGCGCGCAGCTCTTGCCGCACGTGCGCATTCAGCCGGCGGGGCGGAACAGAGGAGGAGAGCTCCCCGCCCAGCGCTGGAAAAAGGTAGGTTTTTACCCCTTTCCCCCTTCCAGAGCCGGGCGGGAGGGGGACCCTGAGGGTGGGGGCACCCTCAGGGCACTATAGTGCCAGGAAAACGAGTATGTTTTCCTGGCACTATAGTGGTCCTTTAAGGGTCAGCAGCTGGGCTTTCCTGAGGGCCGGATAGCATTGAAATGGTTCAGATATCAGGGTTACAGGTGGCAGGCCGTTTGTGGGGAGATCCTCGGTATGCTGGGAAGTGGTAAGAGACCGGATGTGTTAGTACTACATGCTGGAGGTAATGACATGGGACTCGTCCCACAAAGGCAATTGGTGAAGTGGATGAAGCAGGACTTGAACAGGCTGCGGGCACTAGTCCCTGGGATGCAATTGGTGTGGTCAGAGATGGTGCCTCGGTTGCGGTGGTGGCACACACGGGCTTCTACCGCGATGCAACGCGGCCATGGAAAGGTCAACGGGTCGATGACCTGGTTTGTGAAAAAATTGGGGGGAGTGGTGGTTCGGCATAGGGCACTGGAGGATACGTTGCCTGGGTATTACAGACAGGATGGGGTTCACCTTTTGGATGTGGGGTTGGACATTTTAAGCCTGGGACTGCAAGAGGGGTTGCACAGGGCCATGTTTCTTCTGGGTGGTGGAGCTTAGACAGCTTAAGGTGTCAAGGTCTGAGCTTGTGGCGGGGTTAGTTAGGGGAAATATAGGGATAAAAGGGCCCCTGGTGGAGTTACAGAGGAGTTAAGGATGTTTTGGATGAGTGGTTTAAGTTGGTTGTTATAATGTTGGTGTTATGAGCCCTTGGTGGGGTAAAGGGTATCCGAGTATACCCCTACCAGGAGGCGTTAAGTTATGTTAAATATATGTTATGTTAAATATGATTAGTTATGTTAAATGGTGGGGTATGGGTGGTGAGGGGTCACTCCTCCTGCCCAGATAGTGACAATGCACCTGTCATGCACTTTATGTGAGGTGAGAAAAAGACAGTCTAGTATAGAAAGAGGAATTACACATTAAATTGCTAAGCTTTGTTGAACAGAAGAGTTTGAAAGTTTTTAGTAAATAAATAATCAGACAATAAAGTCTGTTACCGGACCTGACACGGCGGCCCTGGTGTCTCTGGCAAGGTGTACCAGTTCAGGCAAAGTTATTGTCTGTGGGTTTCTTTTTACATATCCTCTAGAATGTAAGTTCAATGAGTAGGGCCCTCCACCTCTCTGTTCCTGTACGTCCAGTTGTCTGGTTACAATTACATGTCTGTTAGTCCACCCATTGTACAGCGCTACAGAATCTGATGGCACTATATAAATAATACAATAATAATAACCTGCACCACTAACTCCTCCACTATTTGCTAGGACTCATCTTTGGTGGCGTATGCAGGTTATACTGCGCTAGTATCTGGTTACTATATGACCTTCTATCCATCTATTCTTCTGTCAATACTCTTATGAGTAATTACTCTATAGAGGACAATGAATAGTCATATCTTGTGAGACCTCAAGGAAGAGACAACCAGTTTCATTCTTGATTAAGGCAGGAGCAGCTAACTTTATTCTGGAGTTCCCAGCTTTCTTAAAGACCACAGCACAAAGGAAATGTGTTTCCAAATAGAGAGCCAGAAATTATGCTGTACTTGTTAATACCAATGTGGGATGGGAGTCCTCCTGCCTGAGGGATGCAAATTAGGTTGAGCTAAATATCCCCAGGGGGGTCTTTTCTTCTTATCCCAAGACATTCCAATGGAAAGGATAGTTCTCCCCACTACTATGTAACTAAACACTTTAAACATGTTGAAATGCCTTAATTCTTTGGATTTTTTTTTCTTAGGACATACAAAGCAGCTGAGACCGTAACTAGCAAATATGCCAGTTTTGTCACACTGGAATATAAATGTGTGAAATCATAAGATCTGTTTTCCTAAATCTCTCTAACACTCATCTTACACAGGTTCAGAAGCTGATTGTGCTGGACCCCCAAAAAAGATTGACAGTCTCGCAAGCTTTGCAGCACCCATGGGTGACAGGAAAAGCAGCTAAGCTTTCCCATATGGATCGCACACAAAAGAGACTTCTAGAATTGAATGCCCGGCGCAAATTAAAGGTGATGTGCAATTATATTAGACATACCATCTCCTCAATAAATATTAAAACATTTTTGATATGTTCACAGACAACATTTAATCTTTTGTGAAAATGGGAAAAAATATTTTCTCTTATATATCATTTCACAACTTGTATTTTTAATTGTGTTTTCTTTATAGGTAGCTATGAAAGCAGTAGTAGCATCAAGTCGCTTGGTAAATCATGTTTACCATGAAAACCCAAGAAATGTGCAAAGGTCGGCGAGTTTAGGTTTGAGAGCAGAAGATTCCTGCTTGTCAACAGATCCACAAAGTCTTCTGACATCATCCAACACTGAGTAGACAGAATAACTAAACACGCAAGTGGCATGTTAAGGGCTAAATTTGCAATCCTTTGGTCTTCCACTGAAATAGCCTCTTTTGCAACTTTACGGAAGTAATGTTGCAAAGTGTCAGCAGTGAATAAAAACTGAAATTGTCATCTCGGATAAAAACTGCATGACCTACATTTTTATGCACTCAAGATAAACTCAGACGTTGGTAGAAATATTGGAGCAAAATCAACAGCAAATTTTCTACACTATAAAGGGTCTTTGACCCGACAGGGTGGAAACGTTGCTGCTGATTTTGTCCAATAAATCTACCAACTTCTGAGTTTATCTTGAGTGCCTGGTTCATTATTGAGTTTTCAAACTGACTAAGCGAACCTCAGCCACCCTGAGGCCTGGTTGCACCCTGGGAACCTGGAGAGTGCGGTATCCTTTATTTTATTGACGTTGCTACATTTTCATGCAACATAATTTGGTGCATGTGCTTAAACTGATTGGTTTCAAACATATGTAATGACATGTAATAAAATATATGGCATTTTAAGATTTAAAAATCAGCTTGTTTGTGTGTTGCAGCTAGGGTGTGGACATTAGTCAAAGAACAATATCTTATTAGATAATAACGTTAAATGTAAAATGTCGAACATGTGATTATAACATACATAAATAAAACATTTTCATCGGGGCATTTTTCTGTTTCTGATAAATAATTTTTCTGAATAGGACATTTTTGATGGCATCCTTTTTTTTGATAAGTGGTACTGGGATTCCAGCCATATATCTATGGCATAAAAGCAAACGTGTGCCAGAAATACTTTAATAAGTCACACAATTACATCCAGGGTCAGTGCTCAAATTTTTTTCTCACACAGTCAAACATTTTGCACACCTCCCCCAGACACACACTCCTCACCCTCTACTTTCTCCAACTGTGTGTCTCTCACATTAATACCATGAACACAATGCCCAGGATGCAGGGTGTCTGTGTGAGAACAGAACAAGCATGGCTCCTACACCTGCAGTGCCCCCATGGACCTCCTACCACCTCCCAAAATAAATAAATAATATATTTAATTTTGTTTGTTTGATACATTATATCAAACACAGACATTTTCTCTCACACTTTCAAACAGCACTGCCATCGGAAGTCTAGGAGCCCCTTAAAAAAAATATATCTGTGCTACAAACTCCTTCTGACACACACAACTATATACATACACAATCTTAGACACACATAAACTAGATTTTCACTGGCAGACATGGATGCACATATATTGATCACAGCTACCTCACCACTCATCCTTGATGGACCCTGTCAGGGGCGGACTGACCACTCGGCCCGATCTCTCCAACTGGAATGGCAAAAAAAAAAAATGTATTTCCTTTAATAGGTTGCTGGGGCCCCCGATGCAGCGCAGGGCCCCAGCAACCTACCGCTCTGTAAATCACCCCCCAACCCCGCACCCGAGACCTGGCAGCTTCACCTCCTCTCTGCCAGGTCCCACGCGGTGCTCTGTGTGATGGGGAGAGGCGGGGCCAGGAAGTGACCTCACTTCCTGTTTACTCCTCTCACACACAGAGCTCGATCAGCGAGGGGAAGGAGCAGCAGCCTGGGAGAGCAGAGGGAGCAGAGAGACAGGTAGGATATAGTCACTGTCACATTAGTCACCCCCTCCCTCCCTTACTCTCACTTGTCACCCCTCTTTCTGTCACTAGTCACCCCTCTTTCTGTCACTAGTCACCCCTCTTTCTGTCACTAGTCACCCCTCACTGTCACTAGTCACCCCTCAGTGTCACTAGTCACTCCTCACTCTGTCGCTTGTCACCCCTCACTCTGTCACTAGTCACCCCTCACTCTGTCACTAGTCACCCCCTCCCTCGTCACCCCCTCCCTCACTCTGTCACTTGTCATCCCTCACTGTCACTAGTCACCCCTCACAGTCACTAGTCACCTCTCACTGTCACTAGTCACCCCGCACTGTCACTAGTCACCCCGCACTGTCACTAGTCACCCCCTCCCTCACTCTGTCACTAGTCACCCCCTCCCTTACTCTCATTAGTCACCCCCTCCCTCACTCTGACACTGTGTCACCTGCTGACACTAGTCACCTACTCTGTCACTAGTCACCCCCCTCACTGTCACCCCTCCTTCACTCTGTCACTAGTCACCTTCCCTCACTCTGCCACTAGTCACCCCTCCCTCTGTCACTGAGTCACCCTCTCCCTCACTCCGTCACTAGTTATCCCCTCCCTCACTGTTAGGGGTTGCCCTAACTCTGTCACTGAGTCACCCCCTCCCTCCCTCAGCCACTAGTCACCCCATCTCTCACTGTCACTAGTCACCCTTCCTCCCTCTGTCACTAGTCACCCCTCCATCCTCTGTCACTAGTCACCCCTCATTCCTTCTGTCACTAGTCACCCGTCCCCCTCCTCACTGTCACTAGTCACCCCTCCCTCTGTCACTAGTCAGCCCTCACTCTGTCACCAGTCATCCCCTCCCATGCCTATGTCACTAGTCACCCCTTTCCTCCCTCACTCTGTCCCTAGCCACCCCATCCCTCTCTGTTGTCAACCCTCCCTCTGTCACTAATCATCACCTCCCTCACTATGTCACTAGTCACCCCTTCCCTCCCTCACTCTGTCCCTAGTCACCCCATCCCTCCCTCTGTCACCTGTCACCCCCTCCCTTACACTCACTAGTCACCCCCTCCCTCTGTCACTTGTCACCCCTCACTCTATCACTAGTCACCCTCTCCCTCACTATGTCACTAGTCACAACATCCCTCCCTCTGTTACTTGTCACCCCTCACTCTGTCACCAGTCACCCCATCCCTCCCTCTGTCACTTGTCACTCCTCACTATGTCACCAGTCACCCCCTCTGTCACTGTGTCACCCTTTCCCTCATTGTCACTGTGTCACCCCCTCCCTCACTCTCACTAGTCACCCCTCCCTCCCTCACTCTGCCACTAGTCTCCCGATCCCTCCTTCTGTCACTAGTCACCCCCACCCTCCCTCACTCTGCCACTAGTCACCCCCTCCCTCCCTCACTCTGCCACTAGTCACCCCCTCCCTCCCTCACTCTGCCACTAGTCACCCCATCCCTCACTGTCACTGGTCACCCCATCCCTCCCTCTGTCACTAGTCACGCCCTCCCTCACTGTGTCTCCCCCTCACTCTGCCACCAGGTGCCACTCTGCCACCACCAGGGCCGGACTGGGGAAAAAATTAGGCCCGGGCATTTTTCAATCAGAGCGGCCCCCTAAGAAGGGGGTGGGGCCAGAAAGTGTGTGTTTTGTCATCACTAATGACAACATGCCCCCTCTCAAAGTGAGCATGTTGGTTCAATGCGCAGAGCCCTGCTAAAGAGCTCTGGCACTAGAAAAAGGCCCTGAATTTATTCTGCGCAGCGCAAGCAAATGAAATAACATGCTTGCGCTGTGTTTGCTTTTAAATTGTCTCTGGTGTCTCCACAAGTGGGATACCAGAGGACAAAAGGGCCAGGAAAGTGCATGGTGCATATGTTTGGAGCCTGCTTGTGGGATTGCGTGTGTGTATTGTGGTATTGTATAAATAGATCAATTTAATTTGTGTTTGTGGTGTAATATGTGTGGCTAGGGGCTGTAGAGAGTGTGGGATGCAGCGAGAGAGTGCATACGGGCTGAAGTGTATGTGTATAGGTGACGTAGTGTGTGTAGGGGTTACAGAGAGGGTGTGTTTAGAGAATGTTGTATGTGTTTGCTGACAAGGAATGTAGTGTGTGTGTGTGTAGGAGATCTACTGTGTAAAGGACCCAGTGTGTGTGTGTGTGTAGAGGATTAAGAGTGCATATAGAGTAAGGGATCTAGTGTTATCTGGAGCGTAATGTGTGTAGTGGTGCAGTGTGAGGGGTGCTGTAGTGTGTGTGTGTGTGTGTATGTATGTATATATATATATATATATATATGGACTTATTGTATGTGTGAGGGGCGCAGTGTGTGTATGTAAAAGGGGTGCTGTGTGTGAGGGTGTTTTTATCTGCTGTCACATTCTAGGTTTCTAATTTTCTTTGTCTGTTAACTCACTGAGGGTTATTTTATATATATATATATATATATATATATATATGTGTGTGCTGTATATGTGTGGGAGTGTGCTGTGTGTCTGAGTGAGGGTGCAGTGTGTGTCTGGGGGTGCAGTGTGAGTGAGGGTGCAGTGTGTGTCTGGGGGTGCAGTGTGAGTGAGGGTGCTGTGTGTGTCTGGGGGTGCAGTGTGTGTCTGGGGGCAGTGTTGGGTGCTGTGTGTGTGTCGGGGTGCGCTGTGTGTGTCGGGGGTGCTGTGTGTCTGGGTGTGTGTTTATCTGGGTAGGCTGTTTGTGTCTGCTGGGGGTGCTGTGTGTGTCTGTGGGTGCTGTGTGTCTGGGTGCTGTGTCTGGGTGCTGTGTGTGTCTGGGGTGCTGTGTGTGTCTGGGTGGTGTGTGTGTGTCTGGGGGTGCTGTGTGTGTGTCGGGGGGTGCTGTGTCTGGGTGTTGTGTGTGTCTGGGTGCTGTGTGTGTCTGGGGTGTGTGTGTCTGGGGGTGCTGTGTGTGTCTGGGGTTGCTGTGTTGTGTCTGGGTGCTGTGTGTCTGGGGGTGCTGTGTGTCTGTGGGTGCTGTGTGTGTCTGGGGGTGCTGTGTGTGTCTGGGTGCTGTGTATAGGGGTGCTGTGTGTGTCTGGGGGTGCTGTGTGTGTCTGGGTGCTGTGTATAGGGGTGCTGTGTGTGCTGTGTGTGTCTGGGGGCGCTGTGTGTGTGAGAGTGTGAATGTATTTTTTATTTAAATTTAAATATTTATTTTATTAATAAAAAATATATATATCCCCCCCCCCTCCCTTCTTACCTTTATCCTGGGAGGGGGGGGAAGAGATCCGTTTTGCCAGGGGTGCCTTGAGGGGGAGCCATGCTGCCTTCCCTGGTGGTCCAGTGGTGAGAGTGAACTCTAACCTGCAGGTTAGAGTTCACTCTCGCGAGATCTGAGCGTTGCCATGGCAACGCTCAGAATCCCGCGAGAGGACCCGGCGGAGCTGCTGGTTAGAGCTCCGCCGGTCCTCTCTCCTCCCTGCCTCCCTCCCTCTCCCAGCCGGCGGCCGCATCTCCCTGTCTGTGGGCCGGTGAGGGAGATCTTTGATCTCCCCACCGGCCCATGGATTCACATAGCAGGGCCGGCGCTCAGGTAGCGCTGACCCTGCAGGGGCCGGCCGGGGAGATCCCCTGCCGGCCTCGGCCCCACGGCCATCGCGGCCCACGGGCATTTGCCCGGTATGCCCGATGGCCAGTCCGGGCCTGGCCACCACCTCCCACACTCTTCCACCTGTCACCACCTCTCTCACACACACTCTGTCACCTGTCTCCACCCTTGGACAAGTAGATTTAAAAAAAAATATTCCACACCCCTGCACATGCAGACACACACTAACGCTCAATACACATATGCATTCACACTGACACTACAGTTGCAAGAAAAAGTATGTGAACCATTTGGAATGAAATGGATTTCTGCACAAATTGGTCATAAAATGTGATCTGATCATCATCTAAGTCACAACAATAGACAATCACAGTCTGCTTAAACTAATAACACACAAAGAATGAAATGTTGCCATGTTTGTATTGAACACACCATGTAAACATTCACAGTGCAGGTGGAAAAAGTATGTGAACCCCTAGACT